CTCCAGGGTCGGCGGCGTCGGCCCCAAGGCCTTCGCAATAACAAAAATAAGAACGATGCCCTACGCAGCGCAGTCGTCGCCGCGGAGACGAGGCGTCGGAGGCAGCCGCGGCGGCCGCGAGGCGGCGGGCCCGGCGGGCGAGCCCCGGCGACGGGCGGCGACGGCTCCGCGACGGCGGCAACGCGGCGGCGGATCCGACAGACGAGCCCAGACGACGGGAGGAGACAAGACGACGACAGAACGGCGAGGGCGGCAACGCGGCGCAGAAGCTGAATAACGAGCTCAGGCAACTGGCGGCTACGACGCGGCGGCGACGGCGGCAACCCTGCGGCGGGCCCGACAGAAGACCCCTGGGGGCGGCGAGACGGCGGCCGCGGCAACATGGCTAGAGTGTTTGTGTTTGTATTACATGTATTTTGATATTTGTTGTTTGATGTTTGTTTGTCTCCTGTCTCTCTCTCTCTCTCTCTCTTCCTCTCGCGCTCTCTCTCTCTCTCTCTCTGTCCCTCTCTCTCTCACTCCCTCTCTCTATATGTCTTTATGTCTGTATGTATTTCCTCTCTCTCTCTCGCGCACTCTCGCCCAACCCCTTCTCCGATGCTCGCCGCTGCCTGCTCGCGAGCGGCGGCGAGCGCGGCGCGCTCTGCGTGCCCGCGCGCGGATGCTGATGCGGGCGCACATTTGCGTCGTCGCGCGCGCAGTCACGCGCGCCTGCAGGATCATCAGAGAGCCCTCGAAAACATGGAAAACAATGCACACATATACAGACGCTAGTTCTTCCATGCCAGATGCCACGCGTAAACGCGCGGACACGCGCGCTGCGCGCCCGCGCCCCCGTTCCGCGGATGCGAAGGTCGCGCGCCGATCAGACAGACAGCGCCGCTTGCGGGACCTAAGGCAGGGGCGAAACGACGTTCGCCTGATGGCGCCCTAGCAGGAGACGCGCCAGCTCGCCATCGCCTGGCGCCGCGCCCGCGCAGCCCGGCTGGCGCCATAAACCCAGACAAAGAACATGCAGGAGCGGCCGGAGAGCGCCCGGGAGACCGACCCCAGCGGCGAAAGGCCACAAAAGGGTCGGCTGGACCTCGATATCTCACGCCACCGACATTCGACTCAGCGCTGGCGCGCTCTGACGCCATCTTCCGATAACACAGCGCCGGGCGGCGGGGCAAACCGCCTCGCCCAACTGGGCGCCCCAAATTGCGGGCGCAACTCTTGGCCGCCGGGTCGGTCTCGCTCGCCGCGAGGGCCCAGCGGGCCAGCGCGGCGGCGGCGTCCACAACGTTTGGGCGCCCGAGTTATCCGGGGCAACTCGGGCCCGGGGTAACTCGGGTTTGGACTCCCGAAAAAGGAACCCGAGTTAGCCCTGACCCGAGTTACCCCCGATGATGTAGGGCTCTGGACGCCCGAGTTATCCGGGGCAACTCGGGCCCGGGGTAACTCGGGCTTGGATTCCCGAAAAACGAACCCGAGTTATCCCTGGCCCGAGTTGCCCCCGATGATTCGGGGCTCTGAAACGTTGCCCCCCCGCGCCGCCCAGGCGATCTCGATCTCGCAATGCGCCGAGAGTAGGCCGAGGCAAACTATCTCCTTCAAGGGAATCGGGCCGCGACGGAGGGGGGGCGCCGGCGCCAGCGGGCTGCGGGCTAGGCGCTGGAGGCCGAAGGCGGCGGATCGAACGCGCGGGCCGAGCCCGCGACCTAGCGAGCGGCCAGCCCGCGTGGGCTCGTGGGCCAGCTGTCGAATCTTATCGCGCTCCTGCTCGACGGGGTGGCCTTCGGCGAATTGGCGACATTGCTGAGTGACGCGCAGCTGTCCGGTTCTATCGGCTTCGCAAATATTACCCCAGTGCAACCCTACCTAAGAGTTGGAGCCTCTAGGAAAGCAACATTGGTAGGAGCGGTAAACGCCGCAGCAGCAATAGTGGATGCGGTGCTGCGCTGCGCTGTGCTATGCTGTGCTATGCTATGCTATGCTATGCTATGCTATGCTGCGCAATGCTATGCTGGGCTAGGCTAGGCTCAACTAGGCTATGCTATGCTGCGCTATGCTGCGCTACGCTATGCAGAGCTATGCTATGCTGCGCTATGCTATGCTATGCTACTCTATGCTATGCTATGCTATGGTTTTGCTTTGCCTTCGATTTTGCCTTCACTTTTGCCTTTGCTTTTGCTTTTGCTTTTGCTCGGCGCCCAGGGAGCGCAACTGGGGGAACCGCGCGTTTGCTTTCACCTTCGCTGTTGCTGTTGCCCGGGTCCCAGGGGGCCGGGGGAACGGCGCGGGGCGGGTTGCACTGCCCGCCCCGTTGCGCAAAGAGAGTAAGAACCCTACTAGGCAGAGCCTAGGTAGGGAACGATGCGAAGCCCTCCGCTGACATCGGAAACAAGGAAGGCATCGCAAAGGCGGGATCGAATCGATAGGCCTTCGCGCGGCGCCCCTACCGCGCGGTGTCGATCGCCGCCCTTGAACTCTCGGCGCTGGCCGCATACTTGTCGCCCTCGCAGTCGCCCTTCGCTTCCGCGATGTCCGCGGCGAGTTCTGATCGTCGCCCCCCTTCTTGCCGCGCGCCCGGGCGTTTGCCCTCAGCTCAGGCGCGCCATCTCGCCGCGGCGCGACTGCAGTCGCGGCCGCGCTGGGACTCGGCGCGACCGGATGCAGCGCGCCTCGCGCTGCCCTGCGCGCCCTTCGCGATGCGCCTGCAACGCGACGGGCGCCTGGCGCTCTGTTGACCGCGGGCGCAGCCGCCCGCGCGGCGCGGGGCCGGCGCGCAGCTGGCCCGCGCAGGCGCCTCGCCGCGCGGGGCCGGCGCGCGCCTGACCGGCGCGTGGATTGCGCAGCGCGGGCGCGCCGACATGGCGTCTCAAGCCCTGTCGGCCCACTGGGCCCGCGTGGCCGAACTGCCGCGCTGGGCGCGTCGGAAGCGGACTTTGAGCTGCAGCGCGAGACGCCGTCGTACGCCGAGGCACCGTCGAACAGGATGGGAGACATATGCCGCGCGCGCTGCGCAGGGCGCGCGCTCCAGCGCTGCGCGGAAGCTGCCGTCGCGCTCCGGAGCAACGCCTGCCTGGCGACGCCGAGGAAAGACGAGCGCGCGAACACGTCCGGGCTGCTGGCACCGGGATGGGGCGTCGGCCATCTCGTCGGTCACGCCAGGGACGGGCTCGGCCACGACTGCCGCGGAATTGCAGCTGCAGAGCTCCATCGCGAGCTCTTGGCCGTCAGCAAACGCGGGCCCTTCGGGCTCGCGTTAACAACTGGCGCCGCCATGGCCGCAGTCGCCACGACCCAGATACACGCCAACGGCGCGTCGCCGCAGACCGCGGCATAGAGGGGCCGCAAGACAGGGCGATGCAGGAAAAGAAGATGGACGATTTTGCTCAAATAGCCGATCATCTGACGCAGCGCTCTTCTCAGGCGAGCACCTGGCCCCGAAATTCCCGCGCGGACTCGCAGAGACCATCTGGATCATCGCCCGGGCATCCCTGCGCTCGAACTTCACCGGGGGAGCTCCAAATGCACGCCGCGCAATTCACTCACAAACGACCTGCGATCATTCGGCGCCAAAACCAGCAGCCAGAAATCACCCGCGAAGTCTAGGGCGAAAAGCTCAACCTCCACTGGGCCCAGCGCCTGCAACTCCAGCGCGCTGCGCGCTGCGACGGGAATGAGAGGCAGCAAGGCGTGTCCCACATGCGACGCCTCTTCTTCGAAATGCCCCTCTGGGCCCCCGCCACGAGCCCGAATGTGCAATGGGGGCGGCTTCGCTGAAGCTGTCCCCGAGCTCTTGCAGAGCCCCGAAGTGGAGCAACTGCTGCACTTCGATCCACGCGCCAGCGACCGCCATTGCTGGCGCGAAGTAAACGAGTTCGCCAGGGCCCGCGTGCAAGGCGTCTGGCTGCACCCCCTCCACAGGAATGCGCGGGAAGATTCCGCAGTCCTCTGTAGGTCTGCGTGAACGCGCGGGAACCCCTGTCCTGGCAAGCCAATCTGCGACCGCCCAGTCTGGCTCGACCGCTGCTGCGCGCCAGCCTTCGGGCCCCGTTCTGATGCGGCCATCGCTGGTGGGCTCCGTGCCCCCTGCGCCGATGGGCGCCGCGAGCTCGGCGCGGACGTCGTCGACGGTTCCGCGTGGAATCCGTTCCGCGCCGCCCCCGGCGCCAACGGCTGCAAGACGCACTTATTTTGCCGAGGTTGGGGCGCGATCTCAAGGCTCGTTTTGGCGCCTCGCGCCCGCGCTGGCCCACGCCGGCGGCGACGCCCGGCGGCTTCGCGATCGACCGCTGCGGCGCGCGCCCAGCCGCCGGCCCTTCGTGATCGTTGCTGCCCGCGCTGTTGCCGGCAAGCCTGAGCATCGATGTCGCGGCGGGGCCGCGCTTCGCGATGAACGCAATAAGGGCCCGACCACCTTTCCACGAGAAACCCAACCCTGAGACCCCAGGGCGCCCTTTGAGTTTTGGCGCGGGAGCGCGTCGCCTTCCATCGCAAACCCATCGAACCCACAAGAAACCCAGGGGGCCCTGGAGGCAACCAGGGTGTTTCCTGTCATGGGCATCCACTGTGACGCCTCGCGCGGGCGCTCCGCGAACAGAGGCCGGTTCGCCGACGGGGCGCTTTTCCAGCGACTGGGCCTCGCGAGCTCCTCGGCCGCTCCCCTGAGCCAGCGACCCAGGCCATGCATCGGCTCAACAGCGCACTCGCCAGGAGGGAGCCGAGCTTGTCTAAGCGCGCCACTGCTGTCGAGATGCCGCGAGGGTGGGGGGGGGGATGCCCAGACCACCGCGCTGTTTTGCGACGCGGCCCCCTGTTCGGACACCGCGTGCGCGAGAGCGAAGCAGTCGTCGCCGCAAGCGTCGATGTCGACGATCTCACGCATGTCGCCGATCGATGGAGAGCCTGGCATGTGAACAAGCGCCACCAAAATCCAGGGTTGACCTGACGACCCTTACGCGCGGATCCCTCGAGCAGCCCACATTGCCAGGAGCCCGCCCGTCATGACAGTTTCTTTGTCTTTGTGTGCCAGCCCCGGGATGCCGTGCAGTTCTGCACCCTGCTTGCCCCTGCGCATCATGTCTTGGAAGGTCACGGTGGACGGGCGCACGCGCACAGGGGGAAAACAAACAAACCTCACTTTTGACCACCCTCGCTTCCAAGAGATACCAAACGATGCCAAACTACGGCCAGTACTAGTCAGGCCGCTTGACGAGGAGGCGCGTGGCATGACTTGGTTTTGCCTGGAAGAGAAAGCGGGGTAGGTAATTCACGCTCTGAGTGCAGACGGTACCCGAGGAGGAGGCAACGAGCGCACCGATGCCGAAGGTGCCGGTTCCTCGGGCACGGGCCATCTGGTCCAGCAGCTGCACGCCCCTCTCTGGAAGGGCTGGCAGAGCTCCAATTCGCGGCGGCGGTTCGTCGTGAGCCCGTCGACGCTGGCGCTGGAAACCGCGGCGTGAAACTCGCGAGGAGGGCTGGCGGGCACGATCTCGAAGACACGCGCCCGCCTCGCTGGTAGGGGCTGGTGCTGGCTGGTGAATGCGCCACCCTCCACCGCGTCCGCGGGATTCGTGGTCCTGTTCAGCAGCAGCACTGCCTTCTCCTCCAGATCCTCCCTCCATACCTGGGCACCCCGAGCGGCCTCGCAGAACACCCAGCCCCACGGCTTCGCAGGGTCGAAGGGGTAGGTGCCGCCAGCCTGAATGGCCCGAACTTTCGCCATTGCGCACCGCCCGTTTGGTTCTGGCCAAGCGGTGAGCGTTTTCTTATTCGGCGTTTCGACATTGGGCGGGAAAGGGGGGGAGGGGGGGGTCTGGCTACGGACCTCTGCTTACTGCCACTGTTTGCATCAGTGCGGCCTCGCGGGGAGACTCAACCCGCTCGAAACAGGTGCCCCCAAACAGCCAAAATCTACTCCTTTGAGGGGGGCGGGGAGGGGGGGTGGGTGCGAGGGCCCGCGCCGATCGGCAAAACAAAACTTAGGTCGGGCATGTCCCCCTACAGGCGGATTCTGGGCGTTTCTTTTTTTTTTGTGTTTGAAGAAATATATGTTTTTGTTGAAAATAATAATAATAATAATAATAATAATAATAATATAAAAAAACAACAACACAAAAAAACACCCGGACAATATTCAAACAACCATATTCAAACATAACCACAACATCGTCCCCAGGCTATTGTTTGACTATGTTTGAATATTCCTCCTGTACATAAAAGACCCGAGTTAAAACAAAGAGGAATAACAACGATCGCATGTGCATACCGCCCGTTTGGTCATGGCCGGCCATTCGGACGCCCGAAATGGGTACGGAACAAATGGGTACAATGCCCAACAACAAATGTTGTCCCAAACCAACAGCGGCCGCTGTTGGGCAGGCGACCTTCTCTCTCAAATGGGCAAAGGCCGCGCCGGCGCGGACAGCGAGTCCTGTTCAAAATGACCAAGAACTGCTGTTGGGCACTGTACGCATTCTTTCCGTGCCCACTTCGTTCGTGCAGAGGCCAGGAGCTCGGCACGGACCCCGGCCTCTGCCCGGCGCAAAAGGAGGGCCGGAGAGAGAGAGAGAGAGAGCGGCGCGGCCGCCCAACCCGCTGGCCCACGGCCCCAGGGGTGGAGAGCGAGATCTCCCCCGAGCACCAGCTCGGGCACGTTTCCCTATAGGCGGACTTTGGACGAAACGTAGAAATTGCTTGTTGCTTTTAGAACTTTGTTCAAACTCCCAAATGGCAGAACATAGCAACAAACAAAAAGAAACACAAAACATGTCCTCTACAACAAAAACCGTACCCAGACTGTTTTTGGACTAGTTTGAAAGATTCCTCCTGCAGGGCGACAGGCCCGACTTCACCCGAGCATGATGCGGCCAGTGCGGGAGACCGCAGAAACCCGACTGCCAGCTCTCCATTCCCGGCCGCGCCGTGGACCTGGAGGTTCTGCAGGACACCGCCCGGACCCACCACCATTCCAGAGAGCTTCAGCTTCCGCTGCATGCGAAGGCCGAAAGGGCCCCCAAAAATGGATACCCTTACCAGGGGCGGCCCCCCACTCAGACAGCGCCCGCAAGCCCGTGAGCTGCTGAAGCGTGATGTCGTCCTCCGGGCAGGGGTGGTGCCCGATGCGGGCCCAGAGGACCTCGTTGCACTTCTCCACGTCATCCTCCCCGAGTGGGGCGATCTCGCGGTCGCTGGCCTGGTCGATGACCATGGCCAACTTGATCAATCGAGAGCTACCGCCCTGGAGGAGGTTTTGCCGCCGCCGCCTGAAGACGAACGACCTCGGCCTCGAAAATATTGGCCTTGTCATCCGCGTCCTGCTTCTTTTCGCGCTCGGCGAGCATGGGTTCAGCCCCGGAGGCGGGACGCACAACGGCCCCAATCCGGCTGACGCCAAGTGGATCGCTGACGGCTCGGCCCCTTTCGATCCGCCATGAGTTGAGGATGTCCGATGAGGCAACATATGGCCCCCTTGAGCCAAAATGGTTGCGGTTGGGTTGAGTTGCCAGATGGGACCCTCCATCCACCCCGATATAGCAGAAGATTATGTAAGTCACAGCTTCCCTAATTCCCCACAAAACGGCCCATAGAGCCCAAGAGGCCTCGAAGACGGCCCCAAGCTGCCCCTGAGGGGCCTCAACAGCCCAAGATGGCCTCGAGATGCCCCGAAGATGGCCCAGGAGGACCTCGAGACGACCCCCCAGGGGAGCCAGCACCAGTGCACAAACAGATGGGTTTTCAATGTTTGTTTGCCTGCCCCGTGTTTCTTCGATTCGGATATCTCGAGATCGCGTCAGGCCCCCTAATTGTCCCAATACAACTGCAAATCGCTGAGCCTGGAAGCCGGCGGCAGATGACACAGCCCTTCTGAGACAGCTTACCTTGCTGCACTACTCATCCGCATCTTTTCCCTTGCCCCCTTCCGCGCCCCCTCCGCACCTCTCGATCCCTTCGCCGCTCCCGTCTCACATTCCTCTGTTGCCAGGTCCTGCTGGCCATGCAGCGCCTCCATTGGCAGACGTGGCAGTGGTCGCAGTTCGACCCAGCCTGAGAGGGAGGACATGCAACAATTGTCATTCGTTGATGAACGGGGGGCGCAAATACCCATCGGTCGGAAGAAGTAGGTAGAAAAATGTAGAAAAATGAAGTAGGGAGGCGTTGAAAGCAGACTGGGTTCCGTCCGCCCTCTTGGGAGGACGGAAAACGTGAAGCCACTCGATCGTTGAAGTTGGTTGGCGCTCCAAGTAGGTTTGAATCTGGGAATCCAGCGTGCCGCCCCGTGGCTGGTCTCGCTCGGGGCGGTTGCCCTTCCTGATGCCGCTGGGGTCCAAGTAGTAGCCACCGTCTCTTTGAATCATAAACTGGGGGCCATTTAGAGGTCAAAAAATCCCCCCCCCATAAGAACAACCCCGACACGCGAAGTCGTTCAGTAAACGCGCCCATATAAGGAATCAAACAGGGCAGGGCTGTTTAGTAAACGCCCATGGTCGTTTAGTAAACGCTTATCGGGTCTGGATGGTTGTTCCTCCCTGAATTTTGCTCGTGCGCAATACACTCGAAATCTAAAAGAAATGCGGGCGGCAAAGACGCAAGAGCCTTGGGGCGGCGGATCGCAAACACCCTGAATGGCTGGCCAATGAAACCGCGAAGGACGGGCCGCACAAGCAAGGATGCGAGGGTACCCTAAGGACAGCCGTGCGTCCTTACCATTAGTATTGACTGTTCGCATTGAGTACTAAACACCCATGCCGCACCACCGTCAATCACATTCAAGACTCACAGATGTGCGCAATCCATGGGCAGTGGCAACATTCCCGATGGTGCATTGAAGACGGACGGTCAATGCCGATCGCCATGGGCACAAGCACTCGCAGCATAATCTCGCGCGCGTACGACCGTGACACGTGCGTAGAAGCCTTTGCGAAACACGAAATTACTCTATGTGAGGTTCCTCAAATGTGCGGGCAGTGGCATAGTTTCGGACTGCGAGCGTATCTGAAAAGGAGTGACTGGGAATGCGTGGCGCATCTGGGTAGGAGTCCATCTTCACTGGGGTCGAAATGGGAATCCATACTGTGAGAAGGTACAGACGGAACTTTGCAAACTTGGTAACGTGACACAACTTCGGCAGATAGACAGCTGTGGCCTGAATGACCCTGGGGATCATGGGTCGCCGTGTCCAGAGGGGCGCCTGCGTCCACGCTGGCGGCCCCAGCCGAGGGTGGGGTCTGGGCTTTGGTTGATGGCGCTGTTCGGAATTGGCGGTATCGCTGTAATAAGGCGTGATAATCGGTCGCAAAAGCTCGGTTGTAGGTTGAGCTACAGCAGAAGTGCACTAGGGAACGCACTCATTAATCATTCGCGATGGAATTGCCTTAGGTGCATTCACACTGCTCAAAGCCTTGTCAACAACAAGTCGAAACTGTGGGCAATCGTCACTGCAACCGTTGCGTACGGGGTAATCTACAATCACGCCGTAATGCTGAACCCGTTCTATGTACATGTATCTGTACATGTGCGATTACGCTGGAATGCATGTCGTAGTGCTGGATATTGCCACGCTGTAGGAGTGGTACTGTGTCGTTGCAGTCCGTCGTCGATTTGTCGATGACAGACGGTTGATCCTGTAACCGATGATGGTTGACATCTGGCTGAATGTGGATGGTCTCGTGTCTCCATTGCATGCGCGACGTATCATGGGCAAGTTGGAGAATTCTTGTGGAAGAACTGCGAAATATGCGCGCGAGTGCGCGCGTCGATATCTGCGTATCCGAGCACTACTTGGTCTGAGCACGAGTGGGTCTGAGAATGAACGGGCTTGAGCTGGGGCGAGTCTCAATGTGAAAGGGTCTGAATATGAGAGAGGTTAGGCATAGATGGGTACGTATGAGTGAACAAGATTGTGAGTGGAGCGTCCACGGATGATACAGTATGAGCTGGCGTGAATGAGTCTGGGTATGAATCCAAGTGGATGTGAACAAAATGCGGGCATGGCATGAGTGAGTTAGCGCGGGAGTGAGACTGAGTAGAACTGACCAAATATGGGTGAATCTCACGGCCGGGCGTCACGAAGACACCGAGAGGTACCCAAGAGGCTCGGGAAGCTCGCTCAAGGTCCCAAGCGACGCCCAAGACGCGTTCCAGGATCGTCCACGAGGCATCCAGTTTGGTCATGAAGAACAGTAAGACAGGTGGGTGGGACAACCACAGAACCCCTGGTACGACCTGAAGTGGGGAGAGCAAAAGGTACCGATGCCGCTACTCCCGGGACTTAACTCCCGGGGTGCGTTCTGACCGGAATTGCGAGGCGAATCCAGCGGTGGCGACGAGGGCCTCCCAGGAGGCCCAAAAAGGGGAGAACGGGCGAGGGGGTAGAGGTCTGGGTACCCTTTCCTCCTCTGATGAGGGGGACCCCAGAAACCTTCCAAGACGGCCCGAGGGGACTCCCAGGCGTCGGGAGGCACCCGACCAGAAGCGAGGCCAGACGCCGAGGGCGGAGACGCCAAACTCCACTGTGGCCCTGCCTGCCGCCGTTCTCCGCCGTTGTCCACCGGATGCCCCACAGTTGCCGCCCTGCCCCTTCTCGCTCCCTGTCAGTCTCTCTCTCTCTCTCCCTCCCTCTCTCTCTCTCTCTCTTTTTCCGTCTCTCAGTTGTTTTTCTCTCTCTCTCTTTTTCTCTCTCTCTCTCTTTCTCTCTCTCTCTCTCTTTCTCTCTCTCTCTCACATGTATTCCCAACCCTCCTGCGTTGGGTTCTCGTTTTGAATAGAGCACTGCTCGCGCGTCTCCTTCCTTCCCTCCGATTTTCTTTCCTTCCTTCCCGAGTGCTCAAATTAGACCTCGCCATCCCTGGGGGGCTGCGATCTGTGAAACTGTCGCCACTTTCGAAGGCTGCTGGGGGGCCCAGCACAGTGGGTACTCACCGCGGACTCAAATTAGACCTCGCCATCCATGGGGGGCGGCGATCTGTGAAACTGTCGCCATTTTCGAGGCATGGTGGGGGGCCCAGCACAGTGGGTACTCACCACGGACTCAAATTAGACCTCGCCATCCATGGGGGGCGGCGATCTGTGAAACTGTCGCCACTTTCGAGGCCTGCTGGGGGGCCCAGCACAGTAGGTACTCACCGCGGACTCAAATTGGAGCTCGCAACCCCTGGGGTCTGTGAAACTGTCGCCACTTTCGAAGCCTGCTGGGGGGCGCAGCACAGTGGGTACCCACCGCAGATTCAAACTAGACCTCGCCATCCCTGGGGGGCTGCGATCTGTTAAACTGTCGTCACCTTCGAGGCCTGCTGGGGGGCCCAGCACAGTGGGTACTCACCGCGGACTCAAATTAGACCTCGCCATCCATGGGGGGCTGCGATATGTGAAAATGTCGCCACGTTCGAGGCCTGCTGGGGGGCCCAGCACAGTGGGTACTCACCGCGGACCCAAATTCGACCTCGCCATCCCTGGGGGGCTGTGATCTGCGAAACTATCGCCACTTTCGAGGCCTGCTGGGGGGCCCAGCGCAGTGGGTACCCACCGCAGATTCAAGCTAGACGTCGCCATCCCTGGGGGGCTGCGATCTGTGAAATGGTCGCCACTTTCGAAACCTGCTGGAGGGCCCAGCGCAGTGACGCCAAACGGAAATTCAAATTGGACCTCGCCATCCCTGGGGGGGGGCTGCGATCTGTGAAACTGTCGCCACTTTCGAGGCCAGCTGGGGGGGCCAGCACAGTGTCGCCACGCGCGGACCCAAACTAGACCTCGCCATCCCTGGAGGGGGCTGCGATCTGAGATCCCCGCCTTCGAAGTGGCTAGGGTTGCTCAGGGATTGTAACTAATCAGCTTTATCTAGTCCTTGTCCTGTAGCCAGTGTCCTGCGAGTGTCCCGAATTCCGTTTGCAGACATATGTAACCCTCGTTCCGTCATCGCCCCCTTATAAAGTGTCCTAAACTATCTCCCCCCCCCCCCCCCCCTCGCCGCGTTTGCGCCCCGCGTTTGCGCAGGGGTTGGGTACGTAGCCAGGGTAAGTATTGTGTTGGTTGTTCTCTCTCGCTCTCTGTATATATATATATATGTTTGTGTGTACATATATATATATATATATATATATATATATATATGTATAGATATGTGTGTGTACTGGCATGATCTCGTTGCAATCTAAAAATATTCGGCATCAGATGCTGCAGCCTTGAAGAAAAGCTCGGCTTAGCGTCCCCCCCGCCCATGCTGGCACACCCCTCGCAGAAACAAAGTTCGAAGAAAGACACGCCCTGCGGGCGGATCGCGCCCCGTAAGTAAGTGCAAATTTGGCTCTTGAGACAGGCTTTACAGCGTGGCCCCGCACGCCTCTCACACGGACCGTGGCCCGAATATATATATATATATATATATATATATATGTATATATACATATATACGTTCGCCAATGATCTGCAGTCTCAAAAA